GACAAGAGGGCAGCTGGTAAGTAGGGTAGGCATATAGTTGCGTTGTAGGCGTTGTATGTGGGCGTGTTGCGTAGGCTGCTGGCTAAGGGTAGCTGACTAAGGCTTCAAATATTGTAGAATTGAACGCATTCGAAGAAAACCTTAGAAAACGCGTTTTTAAGCCTATTCTACAGCTTCAAGATTGAACTGACTGTTGGGCTGGCTTACTGGCTTACTGACTGTTGCGCGCGTGGAGGGCACCCTACTACCCCCTGGGACCCACTTTGTCCTGGCGTTTGCAGCCTACAGTGGCAATTCACTGGCCGCCCTTCAACAGCCCCGCAGCCTGGAACGGTTCCAGTTGGCTCTCACTCACCGTCGCCATCGTGATTGGTGCAACCGAAAAGTCAAGCTCCTGTGCGACTTCAGTGTCGCATAATGCATCACCTTCCATCAATCCGTAACCAACAGGCAACCGGGCAATGCCCCTCTGGCCTCTGCGGACAGCATGGGCAATGCGCCAGGGTCTGGAAATCCCCTACAGATCATCCGCCAGAGCAACGGGCTCCTCCCTGTGCAAGTCTTCTCTCGGACAAGTTATACGGAGTTGCAAGAGTTGCTTCCGAGTCCTCAGCTTGAAAGCCGGGAGGGACGTTGCCTCGGTTCATACTACTTCCAGCAACCATCTACAAGACTGAGCAGAACCAAAACTTTACCAGAGGGATGATGAACGTACCCGAATTCTCATCTGCCCCCGAGAAATACCCCGCGAGGTACGGTCCTCGGGCGAACCGCAACCAGGAACGGTGCTTTCAAATCGCCCAGAGCTTCTTCAAGAATGGCGTCGCGAGGACCAAAGCGCGATATGAGAGGTATAGGGGCATCCCTCTCCGCCATTGCAAGCCAGGCAGAAGTTGATCGTGAATCAGGTGGAAGGAGCTAGAGGAGCGTCTCCAGGATCCAGCGCTCCAGCCCAAGCGCGAGGAGCTCTACATGCAATTGAGAATGTCCGAGTCCAAGTATCTGCGCTTCCTCCGGACCAAAGAATCGCTGTCTAACTACACTCCCATCAAGACCATTGGAAAGGGCTATGCTGGCGAAGTGAAGCTGGTGCGCAGAAAGCAAGACGGACGAGTCTACGCACTCAAACGCCTTGTGAAGACGGAGATGATGTCCCATGAACAGCTTGCTCGGGTCCGGGCCGAACGCGATGCGTTAGCTGAAGCTGACAGCGACTGGGTTGTCAAACTATACACCACCTTCCAGGACAACATGTCCCTCTATCTGCTGATGGAATACCTGCCCGGCGGCGATCTGATGGCGTTGCTCATCAAGTATCAGATCTTCTCTGAGGATGTCACGCGGTTTTACGCCGCCGAAATGGTCCTGGCCATCGAAGCAATACACAGGCTGGGCTTCATCCACCGTGACATCAAGCCTGACAACATCCTCATCGACCGGCACGGCCATATTAAACTCGCCAATTTTGGCCTCTCAAAGGGCTTCCGCGGAGACCGCTCCAATGGTCGCTACAAAGAGAACCAACGACCTGGCCCCTCGGACAACCAAAAGCGCAACTCGGTCAACATCGATGAAATCAGTTTGACCGTAAGCAACCGGCCTCAAATCAACATCTGGCGGCATTGTAGGAAGGTATTGGCCTATTCGACCGTTGGAACGCCCGACTATGTCGCACCAGAGCTGTTTACAGGCCGTGGATACTCGTTTGAGATTGACTGGTGGTCACTTGGTACCATTCTGTATGCGCTCACCCGATCTACCCACACATGACATTTGGCCCGTCCTCTTAGGCGTAGTATCGGGGCTTGCGCCGTTCAGTATCCTAGAGCTATCCACTGACCGGACAGATACGAATGCCTCGTGGGCTGGCCACCGTTTGCCTCCGAGGCGGCGTACGACACCTACACAAAGATTATAAACTGGAGAGAGTCTTTCATTTTCCCCGATGACGTCCAGCTTCACCCAAATTCCATCGGCCTCGTTAAGAGGTACGCTACCGCCCTCCTCCCTACCTGACCTCAAGGTCAACGACCCCATTGCTGCCCTTCGCTTGGTTTTGAAGAGCAGACAGTGACAGATCTCTACCAGCCTTGTATGCGACCAGGAGACGCGCCTCGGCCGCCATGGAGCCGACGAGATCAAAGCCCATCCCTTTTTTGCCGGCGTCGACTTCGGCACCTTGCGGCATGTGCGAGCCCCCTTTCAGCCGGGGCTTACGTCCGACGTGGACACATCATATTTCCCGGTCGAGGACCTGCCCCAGACTGAGGAATTCAGTCCTCCGGCCGCCGCTGCCGGCCACCTAGCCAATGGTGCTACTGACGACCCCCTTAAGCCTGACATGTCTCTGCCGTTGATTGATTACACATTTAGGAGATTCGAGAAGAGCTTCATGTGAGGACTTGCTTGATTACGTTTTCGTACGGTTGAGGTCCTACATAACAGCGAACAGGGAATGGGCCCTGCCCTTCCCTGGTGCTCGGAACTTTCCACCTTCTGACTTGCGTTACAACGGCTGGCCCGGGTACGTGTATTGTACCTAGCTACATGATTGAATATGGTTCTATTCCTTGTCGAGCCCTCTTAGGTTGCGATCGGGTTGGAAGGTGTTCTGCTTGACAGGTTTCAGGGCGATCAGGTTCTCAGGTCCTGAACAGCGACTTGCTCACTGGGGCATCTGCGTTCCCCTCTTCCTCGTTGCTATCCCCGCCCCTCCCCTTACGGCCAGTTCCTGGACAGGATACCCTCGTGGGAGCACACACCGAGCCGGCACAAACAGTCAACTAGAGCTTGAGCTACTGCAGGCGCTGCGTTGTCACATACTTGGCTCGAGCTAGTGGAGCGGAATTTGCCGTTGCCTGTGCCATCGGGCGGGACTAAAGACCAACTTCTTGACTTGCCTTTCGCTATCTACGCCATATTCCCCATGTTCCACAAGGGTCTAATTATGCTCTTCCCCTCACGAACGGCTTTGCCTTGGCAGAAATGAGGAGGATGATTGCTTAAGGTGTATAGCAAAACTGGGCATTGACTCCACCATTTCGTTCTCCAGTCTCCATCCGCGCCGTCTTCATCTCCTCCTGGAGTGGTGTCATCTTCAACTTCATTGTCAAGCACCGAGACAAGACCCGAGCTCAACATACGGAAGTTTTGGACGATCTGAGATCCGTTCTTGGGAAGTACTGATACACCGGTAGGTCAAGGAACCGAGCCCAACGCTGTCACTTTTATCAGTCACGATCTAGAGATTACTTCTCAAGATCCCACGATGTGCCACTGTCGTTGTCGCATGTGGGGTAGGCCTGTAATTAAGCCGGGTCCATCCACCCCCCGGATTGGGACCCCGCCTGTATCTTCTTCTTCTTCTTCATACAGGTGGGATCAGCATGTGCCGAGCCCGAGGATACATATATCAGCTCCACGAACAGCACATAGCGTTGTTTTCCTCGCTTTGTGGTTTGTCTTTCTGTTGTAATTGTAAAACGTACGTACATACAAGTGTGGACAGTGGGGTCTTCGTGACTCCAGTTCCCGGAGATTACAGGGCCATTCTCGCTTCGTCCCCCTCCACTGGATGTTATCAGAGCGTACCGTGGGAAATGTAGAAGTATGAGATGGCAGTGGCAAGCGGGTAGATGTACATACAGTACATACCTACCTACCCAGGGGTATACGTACAAGAATGGCTCCCCAGTATCTTACATAGCTACATACTATCAATGAACCGGTCCTACTGTTCCATGCTCCGCTCCATTCAAGTTGCTCTCTAGTGTTTAACTTATGTCCGTGTAAGTGGGGATCGAGTTGAGCAGCCGAGGTTCACGTCTGAGGCGGTTGCTTACACAGTACCTAACGTTGGTCCCTTTACATACAGGCGTTATTGGCTGGTACTAACTGTACCTAAGTTCTCAGTAGTACATCACAATGAATCCCTCCTAGGCAGATACGTATCATGAGAGGTGTGGGCAGAGGGAAGGGTGATGATCTTGCCATGCGAGTCATCGAAAGGTGCCGTCTTCTGGCATCAGGCTATACCTTAGTTAGGTAGGTAGGTAGGTAGCTATGATACATGTTGCCATAGTTCAGCCGTGTTTGGTGGTGACATGCCATTGCAGCTGACGAGAGCCGGTTATAAGTATAAGGAGTGTCCGCACGGCACAGGATGCAATCAGCAGGTGAACACGACATAAGAGCTTCGAGCAGGCAACGGAGGGATGTAAGAGCGTCCAAAGTTGTCTTTCCCTAGTATGTACAGTATATACCCACACCAGTTGGACTACCTGTTCCTTTTATCCGGCACTTGCCGTCGTCAACTCTTCCTGTGGCGTAGGAGAAGCGGTCAAACAATCGCTGGAGGCATCAGTGGCGAGACCAGGACTTGGTGACCCCTTACGGATAGATAGTGTAGGTACTTGTATGTACTGTACCATCACACCCTGCATCAGAAACGACCAGAAACGGCATGCCTCCCTCGAGGTGTCCCATTCGCGGGGACCCGAAATGCCAAGGCACTGCCACCGCAGCATGCGGGCAGTATTCAGCGCATGCATGAGGGCTCACAAGGAAGGAACTTGATACGAACCTGAAGGTAAATTACCGTCAGGCTAGAAAGCAGCGTGTCTAACTCCATAGGGAGCTATGTCTCAGATGCGGAACGACTAGCAATAATTCGTGCGGGGTATGTAAGTTGATTATTGCAGGCCCAAGAGAACGAAGCTGCCAGTTGGGAAGTCATCACGACGATTCGACCTGATGAGAAAAATTAGGGCATCTTTTAGTATGCTTGAGTGAGGGAGAGCGACGGGGCAAACGTTTCAACAGATACGACAAGCATCACCATCTTGCCGTGCACCAGATAACAGGGCACCTACGGAGTGAACTTACTCAATTCCCTAACAGTCAAGCCCTGGCAGCAGCACACCATGAGACACATACACTAGCTTCTCATCCACACTCTTTTGTAGTTACCCTCCTCCGCCCGAGACGGACATTCGGCCTCGGAGCGGACAGTCCGGCATTGCAATAAGTGCACTACGCGCGTATGTAGTTTATTAGTAGCGGTCCATTGACCTGACCGCCTGCAAAAGAGATTGGATAAGGAAAATTGTGGGTCTTCACCAACGGGTTTCTAGTGGAAGAGGCAAATCGAACTAGGGGCCTTCTTCCATCGATCTTCTCAAACCTGAACCGGGAAACACTCACCAGCACTCAAGACATGCATACATACCCGGAAGCGGCCAAATCATGCTGCCGCGTAAGGGACGGGAGATTTCTGATCAGTTGAAACCTGCCATATGCACGGCATAAACTATGCCTGAATGTACGAACGACAGCGGTACAATACATACATACAATACCTACTCTCTCGTCCTATATCGAGTATCCCTGGTCTTTGCCGGGACAAGGGCACTCTGGACGGACCAGGTATAAATTCATGATTACTGTAGTGTAGGGAGCGCGACGGGCCCGGAGCCGGCTGATTTTCTGCGCGCTGATATCAACTTGACGTTCTTAGCGTCGTTCCGAGGTCACAGGACGTTGAGAACGGTTGCCGATGGCGCGAACAAAATTTGGGTTTCACAGACTGGCCGTGAGTAATCATGCAGTCACTGATGAACATTATAACGACAGATCCGAGCCCGGAGGACTGGCCCGTTTGCTGTTTCCAGGTTTATCTTCCATGAGAACCGTCGGGTACCTGACCGAAAATGCGGTCAACGGGACACCCCGTTGCCGGCCCTGTGGAACCACGCAGATCACCCCTGACCGAATTCTTTGGATGGCCTGAGCACACCTGGCAGGCCGCCATCTCCCCGATCCTACCCGCCGTCCCTCCCGTCCCGGAACGCACGGTTGCATTCTTTGCCGCTTTGGCTGTTTTGGCGGTCCAGGGACAGCTGATTGCTTTTTGATCGCTGGTGTTGGGAAATACATAGTTGCGCCTTGGCTATTCAGATCCCCGGGCCTTAACTTCCAAGTTACGATGTGTGTACACGTATTTTGTATATACATACAGTAGTGTACTGTACATACAATGATTACACTAGCGTCGGGTAGTCTTGCAGTGACAGGCCGGTTCTGCAGGATCAGCCACATGGTTTTTGGGACGCATCACGGCATTCTTCTTTCGCATATGTATGTGTGCTTCTGTTGCCTCCACAAGCTGGCGCGTGGATCCAGGTGGAGGAGTATCTGTTGAAATTCCAGCTGTGTAACATACGTTGGACACGACAACACAACTTCTTTGGCAACGGCATCAATGATTACCGGTATGGATTTGGGTACCGTCGAGGGGTATGTAGCATCTGCTCATGACCTTTGAATGGAAAGGGTGGTAAGATGATTACATTTCAGTACTGTACTGTACTCAACGCAGGCACTTACTGTAACGTTATCGAATTTCGATGTTACACATGACGGGCCATCGAACCGCTGCGACACCACCGCACGTGGATATTGTGTGTAACCCGCGGTTATCTCCGCTTCCAACCAGCCCAATACGGATTACGGATACTTATGAAGAGATGAAGACTCTCAGAATACATGATGTACTACACTAACGCTAATAGTGGGAATCAGTGTACTGAAAGTGTACTTCGTAGGCAAATGAGAATACTGTAACATTCCTCTACCGTACACGTATTGGGTGCTACACTACAAAACTAGTGCCCAGTGCGTTTGCGGGACGCCCTTAGGCGGGACCCATTTCTACGATTGGCGACTGCGGCATGGTAACGTCTAGCACGGACGAGAGACCTTGTCTTCCCACGTTCGTCTGGAATAAAAGGGGTTCCATTGGTAGCCAACAGACGCAGGGTAACGTTCTGCACTTGTAGTATACTTGACTCTTCGTCTGAAGCAGTCAGCTATACTCGGTATCCGCTGACTGCACTCGAGCGTTATACTAGCCCATATCAATCAATTATTCGCCACTCGGCTAGCTGATTTCGTTTTCGACATATTTGATTCTTTTTACGTGTACTTTCCGGTCTATTCAGAACTACTTTCCCCAGGATGTATACCAAGTACAGTAGCGTGAAACGATCACCAATAGGTAGACCCACCTTGGTACCGTAGATTGGTCTCCAATGCAATGGATTTTCTGAAAATGCCTTGGCGCGACTTGGCGCGAGATACCCCGGTACGTGCCCAGTTCCACATGCTTTATTAATCTCGCTCTGAATCTTCTTTGTCACTGTGCTGCCGGCTCTGGATCCCCCCTAAACGATTTCGTCCCACGCCTGCTTTGGGAGACGATTTTTCTTTCTGAAGCGGTGTCGGGAGCGAACCGTGGCTGGCGATTGGGAGGACTGGTTCGTTTTCGCTGAAAGGAGGCAGCAACTTCGCCCTTTCGCTAGTTAGCTACCTACCCTTGGGCTTCTTTCTTTCACAATGCACCTACTTTAATGCGTAATACCTTCGATTCCCGTTCAAAGTTCCCCTCGTGTCGATTCGCCGACGTCAAGGCACAGCGACCATGGAAGGACCCCTCAGCGTCCCGCCTGACCGGGGCACTATCATTGGGAGAGCTCTGTGGAAGGTATTGCACACCGTTTGTTTTACCCTTTTTGAGAGCGCAGTTGCTGATCCGCCGTAAAGGTGCGATATGTAATCGTAGGAGGAGCGAACCGAGAGCACACACAACCCGCACCCGTCAGCCGGATGCAGTCGAACCGTAGCTCAACACCCCGAGAGTTTTTCAAGGCCCCTCCAGAAGGCATCTATCTCTCCATCTACAAGTCCAAGGTGTGCACGCTCGTTACTTCGATCATTCGGTTCGACGAACGGTCAAGCAGGGGGGACGGGAACGACCGACTCTAACTGATTGGGCACAACAGGACGACGCGGAGCCAATACAGCAGCATGCCATCAGTACGATCAGAGATTGCCAAGTCCAGATGTTGGCGCATCGCAAACAAGGACCCGTCTTGCCGACCCTGGTCATCAACGTTGTCCCCGACCCAGCATTGGACAAGGCGCGCAAACGGCGCTCAAGCAGAACTACAGGATTCACTGCCTCCAAGGAGACGGGGCCTACCACATTGCTGTTCCGCTCTGCAGAAGACTCGCCAACCCTCCAGGAATGGGCGCGGTTCATTCAGCAACTCATCCAGCCTCATGTGCCAGAAAGAGCGCCGCTGAGCCCGGTGACGCCGGCTTCACCAACTTTCATCAACCCCTTTAGCCCCCGTCCAAGGGAACCCAGCGATTCGCTTAACAGGCCCGACAGTCGGAATAGCGGCTCTCGTCCGGGTTTCTTCAGAGCTCAAAGCACGATACAATCCGGCCGTGACCGACCGATGACCTTTTCGGATTCGCCGAGCCTGCGCTCAAAACGGAGCGACATTTCCTCACAAACGAATTCGATGATTCAGACTCACATTGGCTACCACAACTACACCTCGGTCCTTCCCGGTGACCTCCCGTCCCCGGCAACAACCGTTGGTGAATATCAAGGTGAATTCATCGAAGGTTGGACCTCGGCACAGGGCAGGTCATCTACGCTCAGCTCGCCCGCCAGGGGGCGTGACAGCATCGGGTCGCAGACACCGGCCCCTCTCCAGCCAATACTCGATTCCGGATCGGCCCCGGGCCCACGAGAAACTATCTTGGATAGGGCTTTCCAGTTGCGCTGCATTCCTGGGTCGGAGCGCGAGATCCCTGGGGAGGAGAAGTTGAGCTCTTTGGCTCGGTTTGACGCTTTAATGCGAGAAATGGATGAGAAGAAAAAACAGCGCGAAGCCGAGACGCCAAAACCAAGGCAGGAGGTGGCCGCCGCAGCAAGTACTAAAGCAGGGGATTCCGGACTGCGGAGCGTCTGGGACTCGGATTCGGACTCGGACACTGAAGAGTTGGATGAAGAGGATGATGACAGCGACGGGTTCGTTGGGGACCTTGAAGGAGACATTGAGGCCCGATTTTCAGTGCCGCCAACATCAGCCCAGCGAGCCTTAAATTTCATTGCCGGCCGGGATGGATCGGGGACGCGACCGCGAGTCTACAGTACCAGGGGCCAGCCAGCATACAATGAAGAGGCCCTCATGGCTTTATCGAGCGCCGCTCCCACTCCACTGCGGCCCCAGACAGGCTACTCGGGTACTCGAAGCAGGCCAGGAATGGCCCAGAGGACACATAGCCAGCCGCAGTTAACAACCATTATAGCGTCCTCTCCAACATCTCAAGATGGCAGCGGGCTTCTCTTCCCAACCAGCGCAGCACAGCTCCCTGAGGAGGGAGGTTCTGCCCTAGGCCGCGCGTCGCCCGTGCCAGGGCGGGCCCGCAGCTCGACCGAGCATCGACGGTCGGCGTCCAGCGCTAAACGACTTAGTTTTGGCGAGTTTACCAGGCGACTCAGCAGCACCAGCAGCCTGCTCTTGGTGCAACCCAACACCAGCGGCGCCAGCAGCCGCGCGAGCAACAGCGATCTGGATACAGCCCCGCTACCGCAGCAGCCACTTCCGCAACCGTCGCACCATCTGCACCCCAGAGCTGCCCCGCCGCCGCCTCAGCATCAGCAGCCGCCTCTTTTAGGAGGCGAGCGAGAACGATGCGGATGGCGAGGCAGCGTCGGGGTTTTTGGAGGTGGTGAGAACGGCTTCCTCTGACTTGGTGGTGCTTGTCGTGTATTGATATCTGCACATTTGTACAGCCATATCCTTCCGACCGGCAAACTCCTTTTTTATTTACATTTTTTTGTATTCAACCATATTTGCCATCTACCATCTACACTCAACACCCAACACTCAGCATAACCGCACACACCACGGCCAACAACCAAACCCTCACCAACAAAACACTCCCCAAAGCTCCGCCTACTCACTGATCCGATTGAAGCTATTGTTGTGATACGACCGACACATGATGGACCAATTTTGCAAAGGGGCAACGGCATCTGGCGTTAATAGTACAACATGACGAGGTGGTTCCCGCTCAATGAAGCCCAACCAACCAATGATTTCATTTACATAGCATGTGGTTGTGGGCAATGAAGCGACGGCCTTTTTTTTCGAATCTCAAAAAGTCGCTTTGCATTTTCTCTCATTAGCGGCATAGTTGCTCTTCCTGATTCGCTATTTCCCTTCTTACATTCCTGTAAATAGTACATTTTGAATACTATATCCAGATGGATGGTACGGAGCGCATATCATGAGGAGATGCGTATTCGTCGTATCATGATGTACGATAAAATATAGCACATACATACCTCTCAGGATGCCATGGAACTGGTTGCACCATCCACTTCTTCGGATCCAACTCTACTATTTCAAACCCAACGGCACGGGCTGTTGATGCAAAGGAAGTCTGTCGTCGATGCAAGTCGGGTCTCCGGACTCGATTACCCGCCAGGCATTCTTGGTTGGCGGTTCTTAACCATCTCAGGCAACGAGCTGGGAGTCTTGCACCTGCTGATTGGCCGGTTCGCGATTCAGACTTACGGCGGCCACCTGGGGAAGTGGCGCAGGGAAGAGGCACCGATTATTGGAGGAGGCCTCTGTTTTCAATCTGGGATCAATAAGTACAAGAGATGGACTTTTGGTTATCAGCATTGAAGCCGCCTCTGATACCTTGTTCTCCATCAGGACTTGTCGTCTCGCCTCTCCCTACTGTACCGTTCGCAACAACACCAAGTTCCAACACTTCGCGTCAATGAGCTCACAACCACCCTACTACGGCCAGCAGCCCCCGCAGGGCTACGGTGCGGGTGCCCCAAATCCGGGTAGCGGCCCCAACACCGGATACGCTCCTCAGGGATATCCACCCGCGGGTGCTCCGGGTGCTCCGGGCGCTCCATACCAGTATCCACCGCCGGGACAAGGTCCTCCGGGCCAACAACCTGTGCCAGGCGCCCCGGGCCAATCGCTGTACCAGCCGCAGTTTCAAGGCTACACCGGACCTTACCAGAACAACCAGCCGTATCCCCAACCGCCGCCTCCCGGTACGCCCGCATATGGACAGCAGCAGCAGCCTCCTCCTCCCCATGCCAATGCTCCTCCATACGGGCAACCGCAGCCTCCATATGGCCAACCACCACCACCAACAGCAACGGGTTATGGCCCGCCGCCACCCCAGCAGCCCGGTGGCTATCCCGTAAGCCCATCCACGTGTTGTTAACGTATCTGTCGCCCATGGGACATTGAGAATTGACGATAAACCCTCAGGCTCAGCAATGGCAGCAGCCGCAGCAGCAGCAGCCCTTCCCCCCTCAACAGGGCGCGCCGATGGGGGGGTACGGGTACGGGACCCCGAATCTGATGCCAGTGCAGCCGACGCCGGCCTCTGCGGGGTACGACACGGCGCAAAAGGCCTGGGCGCAGCCCGTCAACACGGCGAGCGACGTCGAGGCGCTGCGCAAGGCCATGAAGGGCATGGGGTGCGACGAGAAGGCGCTGATCCGGGTGCTGACGCAGCCGCAATACTCGAACCCGTGGGCCATGGCGCAGCTGGTGCGCGACTACGACAGCCGGTTCCTGCGCAGCCTCGAGGACGACGTGCGCAGCGAGACGCGCGGCGATTTCGAGACGGCCCTGCTAGCCATCTTGCGCGGGCCCTTGCGGCACGACGTGCACGTCCTCACGCGCGCCCTCGACCGCCTCGGCACCGACGAGGAGGCGCTCATGGACGTGCTGCTCGACCGGTCCAACGCCGACCTGCGCGCCATCGCGGCCGAGTACCGCCGCGTGAACAACAACCGGGATTTGTTGACCGCCATCCGCGACGACCTGTCGAGCGACGACGCCCTGTTCCGGCTGTACAGCATGGTGCTGTCGGCGACGCGCGCCGAGGACGCCGCGCCCGTGCTGCCGCACGAGATCGACCAGAAAGTCACCGAGCTGCAGCGCGCGACCGAGGGGACCATTGGCGCCAACGCCGTGGCCGTGGCGCAGATCTTTGCCAGCAGCAACGCGGCCCAGCTCCGCGCCGTGGCCGACGCCTACCAGACAAAGTACCACCGCTCGCTGCAGGAGGTCATTGAGAAGGAGTTCCGGGGCGACATGGAGGACGCGCTGCTGCGCATGCTGATGGCGAGCCGCGACCGCGCCGCGTCCGACGCACAACGGCTGCGTGAGGCACTGATCAAGAAGAAGGAGACGCTTTTTGTTAATCGGTTGGTGAGTCTCTACTGGGACGGGCCGCGGTTGCAGGCGGCCAAGGATGCGTACAGGAAGAAGTTCCATTGCACCCTGGCCAAGGACGTCAAGGACGCGCTTAAGGGGGATCTTGAGGATTTCGCTTTGGCTCTTATCAGGGAGAAGTGAGGACGCGATTGGTTGCTAGTTTGCCGCTTTTAGCTATGTAGATGCTGCGTTTCTGGTTTCGCACACAGAACGGAGGCTGAGATGGTTAATCCCTTCTCGTTATGGCTTAAATCTACAATACAAATGGTGTTGGTTGGTCAAGTGAAGGTGCCATACTCGACGAGATTCGTCATGCAGTCCACTTTATCAGGGCAATATGCACTTGCATTGCCCACAGCAGATAAATAAGAATCTACTTGGATACTCCCAACATAGACACACCTGAGTATCCCCTCATAATGCCTCGGCCGGTAATCCATCCTCCACATAGTGTTTTGTTGCCCGCAAGTAGGGGTTGGTTGACACACCCTTCTCTACCGCAGCGCAGCTCTCTCTCTCTCATAGCTCCGAGAGCAACCCTCCCAAAATCCCAACCGACCAAAAGTCCACCCCATATTCATTTCCCACCCTGCAAAAACACCCAAGCCACCAAAGCACACACCGCCAGTCAACCGCCCCAGAGCCTTTTTTATCTATCCCCATTATGCTAAGTAGGGGCTCAGCGCAGCCTTGGCTTCGGGCGTGAGCCTCTCGGCAACAAACGTCATAATCTTGCCTCCATGCCGCTGGTTCGCCTCCTTCATGTACTGGCTCACCCACTTGTCCACCTCGAGAATCTCGGGGAAATCGTCCCTCGGCCCGCGCTTGCACGTGTTGAGCGGCGTGAACCCGACGCCGAACCCAATGTCATCGACGTCGGCCTCGTTAACAATCTCATCCCCGAACCCAGCCGCCACCTTCGGCGGGTTCTTGAGCAGATCCAGCAGGTTGTTGCACGTGAAGCCCCACCCCTTTTGGTACCGCTCCGCGAAAGCGACCGATTCGCATAGTGTCTTGGTGTACGAGATGACGCCCAGTTTGCGGTCGACCGGGCGGGCAAACTGGCCCGTGGTGGGCAGGATGATGGTCAGGTAAAAGGGGGTGAAGACGTTTGCCTGGATGGCCTCGGCGTGCTTGATGAAGAAGTCCGCGCCCATCTTTCCTTTGTCACCGGCTCTTGCCGAGACGAGGTGATAGAAACGGGCGACCCGCGACTTGTAAGAGTCGGTTGGGTTGGTTTGCAGCTTGCTGAAGACTAGTGTAATGATGGTCCCAAAATAAGGTTCCAAGACGTCCCTGATCAGTGCCTGGTAAGCGACTGTCAGATACAGAGGGAAGAAGATTGCTACTCACCCTGGGAATGTGCCGACGATGGCCTCGAGAATATCGAAAGCATTTTGCTCTGTCTTCTTCCCGGCAAGCAGACGCTGGAAGATACTCAGGAACGGCTCCAGCTTGTTTTCCGCCTTGATTTCCTCTCCAGCCCTGGGAATAATGGCGACAATAAATCTCGACAGCGGTGGGACGTTGCCCCTTGTTTCCCATGGCCCCGGGGCAAGGACCGCTTCGATCAACACCTTGAAGTCGCCAGGTACTTGAGCCGCCGGACTGAGCTCGAGGAGCAGGGCAAAAATCTGAAAGACAAAAGGGACAAATTCTGCAGACCAAACGTCAGAAGGTGGTGATAAAGAGAGCGACTGATGTACTCACCAGAGACATCCTCATTAAGGATGGCCGCGAAAGGCTCCCAAAGCCGACCTAGCAAGTTCACCTTGGGCGAGCTGCTGCAGTATCTACATCAAGTTAGACGCGCATGGCTTCTTCGTGGAGAGCTCACGGGGGCCTTACCTGACAAGGGCGCCTATTGCTTCGAAGTGGTAGTAGTAGAAACGCGGGTTGCTAGGATTCTCCTTGATGACGTTGGTGATATTGATCAGGTGGGTGAGGATACTCTCGATACCGCACTCGACTGCCCCATCCTTCATCACAATCAGAACCCTCATGATACACCTCATCAAGAACTCATTCTCCTGCAGCTTTGCGGCTGACGTGTCCTTCTCAATTAGCGCAAACAAGTGCTCCAGCAGATCCTTGGCATAAGGTTGTATGTCGCTCCGCGGGAACAAGTGCTGCCCGTTCTCATCCGTCAAATAAAGTACTCGCTCTACAGCAATCGCCGCATAGGTGTAGACGACATAGTTGGATGAGGCCAGGTTCTGGATAAGGGGCTGAAGGGCAGTTGTCCACTGCGCCTTGTTAAGCTGACTGCGGAAATTGTATAGATACTTGATAGCGTCCACCTTGGCGATAGGTTGAGTCGCTTCGGAGAGAAGGTCTGCAGCGATGTTTTGCTCGAAGAATTGGATGACGTTGACGTGGCTATTTACCGTCCTCACTCCGTGAGCCGCAGTGACGGCGCCCTTTGCAGCGATGGCCAAGAAGAGATAGACGGCAGTGTCCTTTGCCTTCCAGTCGGTCTTGCCCAAGGCCAGGTAGTGGTTGATGTACTTGAAGACGACTTCGGTCACGAGAAGTTCAAAATTCTCGAGCAGTTTCCGCAAAAAGTCGGTTGCCGCTCTTCTCCTGGAGTCGGTATCCGAGCCTTCCAGGTCGCGGCGGATAAACTCAATCGGCTCGTCCTCGAACATTTCAATATCCGACTCTCTAAGCGAGACATTGGGGAGAACCACCTTCTCGACGATGGTGCTCAGGATCTGCTCGTTGTTGAAGATTTGGGCGTGGCTGGACACCGACGCGACAGCTGTGAGAAATTGGAGCGCCTTGCTCGTGAGGATGTCGTATCTCTTTTGCGGGCCAACACTTGACAGCACGTTCCAGGCGCTGTTTGTAAATTCCTGGACGTAGTACTTAAAGTCATCGTCGTACTTATTCGTGAACAGCTGAAGGGCGTCGCAAATGTCTGACTTGAGCGTCTCGAGAGGGGTGGCTTCTTCGTCTTCGGCGTCAAATACCGGGTTCGTGTACGAAAGATACTTGTGAAGGATGACGGTAATGGGCTTCAGGTTCGTCTCGATGACTGGAGGCAGATCCTGGCACGACAGGTCGTAGAAAATTCTGGTCAGCAGGCTCATGGTCTCGAGCCAGCCCTTGAGTGCAGTCTCGTTGTCTTTGTTTGCCTCGATCTGCTGGTCCGCAATACCCAGCATCTGGATGAAGGGGTCGCCGAAGGTCTCGACGACGTGCAAAATCTCCCGGTTGAGCTCGTTGGATTGGAACAGGGGACGCCACCGCACGAAGATGGAGTGTGCGACTTCCAAGACGCCATTTGTAACCTTGTAGTCGGTGTTGGAGAGGCGGCTGACAAGGTCTCTGATCAACGTGTCCCATCGTTCCCAGAAATCCGAGTCGGCGATTATGCTGATGGCTTCGCCGAGCTGTGTCTGTATCGCTGGTGGGGATGAGATCATCAAGCCAACAAGCTCCTGCTTGATGGTCTGCACCTCGTCGAGGGGAAGCTTGTAGTTGCCCTCTTCGTCCTGAGCTACCGTCAGAGGCCGACCCGGGCAGTATGGAGGTCACGACGGGATCGCACGTACCACATAGTTATGGCGGATGAAGTTCTTGAAGGCGAGGGCGGCGGCAAGGCGGATGTTGGAGGATTGAGTTCCACTGCTGACGATGCTCAGAAGGGAGAGAGAATATTTCGGCTTCTTGGCCTCTTCCTTGAGTGCATTTTCGGCTGCACAAAACCAGCTTGTTAGCTCAAGACATGCAGGAGGTAGGTCCTCGAAGCGACAGCGGGGTGGTTGCGCTTGGCCAGGATTGCGACGGAGGAAACTTGCCTTTGCGATGATGCTTCGCATCCAGAGTCGCATTCAGTAGCTGGGCGAGATGGTCTATGGGAGAGGCCATGGCGGGAAAGTCGGTTCAGACGTTCTGTGGTGACGGCGACCCGGAAGGACCAGGAAACGAAAAACAAAACACTGAAAAAGCAGTGATGGTTGCTGAGGAGTGATTGGTGGGCCTGCTACCTCGATTCTAGAAATTGGGGAGCTCGAAGTCAGAGCGGGGCATTTGGCACTGCGGGAGGACGGCATCAGCCGCGACCTCCCCTGACACCCCTCACTCAGAAAAGAAGTGGAGACCTTACGTTAAGGTCTGGTAATTACCTAAGTATAATACACTCCTGTACGGTCTTACAATACCTTATTACCCTTGTCACCAAACCTGCTTTTTCACCTCTAACTTGTCCTCAAGATCCTTACAGCCAGGCCGACTTTGTTATCCTCACTCCGTGAACTTTCGGATTTCAAATACTATACGGGCTCAAGCTATGATGGGCTAACATATTAGGTCTCCCTTCCCTTTGTTCACCTCTTAATCCCTTCATTTCCTCGTTTTCTTTTCAAAAAGCTTTTTCCAGCATACGGCAGCCAAGAGGTAATTGGTTAGTTATGGCTAAGTGCCGGTGGGGGTCGGGTTGAAGCTAGTTCGAGGCAAAAGACGTGCTCCAGAGCTAAGCAAACCCTTGCTTCCTGGCCCCAGATTTCACTGGACGGAAATCATGGGATGGGCACTCCATCGTCATCATCGGCCGACGACCCGACGCAGAGCAAAACGATACCTCACCTTTTTCCCGTCTCTTCTTTCATCCAATCCTCCAATGTGCCACGTTCAACCAACGCTTCCATTGCGCTGATCGATACCTTGTCCAGCGCATACCGAAAATCGCAAAGCTTCAGCCAATAACGAGCGATTGCAGCCCTGAAGGCTTGAACTGTGCATAACCAAGAGGGTGCCCACCATCAGGCTGACTTCCAACGACGGCCTTGCGTCGAGGGCGTGTATGTGGGTGGGTGCTTGTGTGCGTGCGGGCGCGATCAAGTTACGGTCCAGTGTCGTCGCCAGGCAGTGCTGGATGGTGACGGCGGACAACAGGCAATTGGCGTGCTTATCGGGCCCCTTTGCGACATAAGGTCTTGACCTAGGCTTGCTTCACACCCTTTTATACCATTTTTATGCACCCGCCCTAGCATACTGTATGTAAGTCGATGTCATTGGGATTCCCGATCCCACGCCACTGGCTTTGTCTTGTCTTGTTGATACGTCGATACGTCGATACGACTACACCCCCGTCCTGCCTCCAGAAAAAAAAAAATCCCGAACCCATGACCACTCCCACCATTGCTCTCTTGCCATCCACCCTCAGCCTTTTCAAGCTTGCATGCGGCTCCTGCAAGCTCCTGCACGGTTAAACCTCTCTCATTCGTCTTTGGACCCTCGGTCTTGGCAGCTTGACCTCAGAGACCCGGCTCAGATTCCTCTCGTTGTCTACTCTTTGATGCCTTCTCCGGTGTATCTCGGCTTCCTCGACCCATGAACCCGTCGCTAACATGCTCCGGCGACTAGCGTCTCTGGGTCACCCGGCCTCTGAGGATCAGCAGCCCATGTCACCTTCGCCGGGCGACGAGCAACCACCCTACGAGGCGAAGGGCACTGGCGGTTTAGCTGGTGTCTTTAAAGGCTTCGGCGGCGGCGGCGGGAAACTGACAAAATCTCCGCCGCCTCCCCAACAGCCTTTCGCGCCTATCCCTCCGTCACATGCCCTCGAGCGGCCCGATATTACCTCGCTACCGCCCGCCGTGAATGGGATCCCTCCAGAGCATATTGAGCTGTTTGGGCGTCTGAAGGATGGGCAACTCGGAGAGCGGATAGCTGCCGCAAACTCGCTTCGCTATGCCATATCCGATTTCCCCCTCAATCCTGTGCGTGTTGAGTTTTTGGGTCACCCAGGCCAACTCTAGGAGCTCGTCCTGACATGTGCTCGCAGGTCCTCGAAATCTGGTACGCCGCCAAAGATCTAATCGACCCGGTAAACCCGACAAATGCTCGCCACCTCGCATGGGAACTCCTTACCGAGTGTATCAAGTATCCGTCTTCTACCGACCTGGAGCGGCGCGAGTACTTTCAGACTGTGACCGCCACGGTGCATCCCCAGGACTTCCACCTCCAGCTAGCTGCGCTCGAGGACCTGACAAATCGGGGCCGCAATGTCTCCGGTTTCTACTATGATATCTTCCCGCTCCTCACACGATGGCTGCAGGAGGCTTACAAGGCTGCGAGAAGCGCTCGGAGACAGGCATCTCGTGGGGGTAGCAAGGCTTCCAAGGGCAAGGCACTGTCATCCGGGGAGGACAAGAACCTGTCGCAGCTGATAACGCTGATCAAGGACGTCATCAAATTCAACTTCAAGTTTGCCACGGATGCCGTGGTAGGGACTTTGATGGACATACTTCTCAGGATATGCATGAACACAAGTGTGGAAGATGATTTGAGGGCATGCATCAACGTCATTGATGCCGTGGTCACCTTCGGCGCCATCCCGAACGACAAGCTGAAAGACTGCATGCAGGTCCTAAGCTCGGTCCACTGCCTCGTTCCCAACCTGCAAAAGGACTCGTGGCACACAATATCCAACATTTGCCGATCACATCATGGCCAGTCGACTGTCAGGATATTACTGGACCTTCTACGGACATATCCTAGCGCGCCCGAGAAGGACAAGGAGAAGGATTCGGTGAGGGACGTCCGGGGTGCCCTCTCGGTCCTCAAGAAGCTCATGTCCAAATCCGCTGAAAAGGGATATCCGTCTGTTCCGCTGGCGCTCCTCGTAGACGGGCTGGCAACAGTTTCCAAGAGCAGCTCAACGAGGGTAGCAAGCGAGGTTTTGAAGCTGATCAATTCGCTGTTCGATGGCCCCAACGGCAGCGTAAATCCTATAGTAGCCGAAGAGCACTGGTCTGCAATCTTCTCGGTGGCTGCGCAATGCGCGACCAAGGCCGTTTACTCACCTGCCAAAGACCCCGGCGCCTCACTCTTGTCGCCAGGGTCCAAAGAGGAACAAGAAACGGAGGATGGCGTGGCGCTACAGTTAAAGTTTCTGATCGGCAGGATAGAAAGTCTGCTCACTCAGGAGAGTTCTGAATTCTTGCAGCGCGACGATTGCATAGAGTTCTTCACCCAGGTCCACCATGTTCTTTCCGACTCCGCCGCCAGTCTCGTGATTGCACACTTCAAAGAGCACCGGAGTTGTTTCCCCTCCGAGGTGGACTGGCAGAAGAATCTCAACCTTGTGTTGGACGGCTTCTATCTCAACCGGAATCGAGACCCGCTCACTCGGCTCCGTGCTTTGGAGCTCATGGTCGAGGTGCACAATTTCCTCCATCTTGCCCAAGACCTTGTTCAAGAGGAGTCGGTCGTTGAACTTGTCCAGCGGATACTTTGTGAGCTGGCAGCCGAGGATAACACGCTTGTCCTCCAGGAAACAGTTGCGTTTCTGGTTGATGTAGCCGGCACCGCAGGTACTCGCCTCGTTGATGATATTCTCGATGCGTTCAAGGCCGTGGTTGCCAAGGAGATGTCCAAGTCGCCGTTGGCCATGCTAGCAGCCCCCAGGACTGCCCTGCCCTTTTCTTCCAGCCAAACTGTCTACTTCGCGAACCAGAGCCTTTCCAACGTGGTGACCAGGGGGTATGTCCAGATTTTCATCCGTGGAATGAGAATTGACGGTTCAAAGTCGGCTAAGGCGTTCACTGCGCTTGTTCACATTGCTCGCTCAAACTCTTGCGAAGTCGATGCTCGACTCACGGCTATGAAGATGCTATTTCGCCTCCGGGCCGATTCTGAGCATCAAGTCTATCTTACCACGCTGACCGAAAACGAGAGCCTTGCTGGAGTGCTTTACCGGACCGAGTCATCCCTCGCGCGGAAACTAGCGGATGATGCGGCTCAGCCGCCCAGGTTGTCGAGGGCAGACCACGGCGGCCCGAGGCCATCCCGGGGCATATCGTTCACCCAGGGGCAGACGACAGATCGGGGGATTCCGATTCGGTCCGCCTCTACTCCAAAACCCACCATTCACCAAGGTCAGAGGCTTTGGTCGGTACCTGACGCGGATGCGTTGCCAGAAACCCCACCGGATAAGCCAAGCAGGCTGGTCCTGTCCCATAAAAGGGACTCGTGCGGAAAAGACCACGCTGTTTTGGGTATGACGTCCTGGTTAGATGCATTGTTGAGCCTCTTCCACCAGGGATGCGACTGGGAGGTGTACAGTTTCATACTGGTGCATCTTCCAGCGCAACTCGCCAACCACCCCATCTTCAAAGATGCGATAACTCATATCCAGGAGCTCCGACGTCTCCTGTGCGAGATGATCCGCATGAACAGCTTCCTGGAGCCGCCGAATTCATCGGGGCTTCGTCGCACTGATGTGGCTAATTGCCTGTTCCACTCTCTCGTTATCCTCCTAAGCTACCACCAGCATTTCCAGAAGATGGACGAGGACGAGATTGTGAGAACATTTACACATGGGATTACAGACAAGACCGCAAAGACATGCATCCACGCCCTCTCAGTGTGCTGCCACGAGCTGCCGTTATCAGTCAGCAAATCCCTCGTTACCATTTTGCAGAAGATGTCGCAAGTCATCACCCAGCCGTTTGTGGCGATGCACATCCTCGAGTTCCTGGCCTGCCTCAGCCGGCTGCCCTCGCTGTACTCGAATTTCCGGGAGGATGAGTATCGCATCGTGTTCGGCATCTGCATCCGATACCTGCAATACGTGCGTGAGAAGAAGCCCTCGTTGCGAGGCAGCGTCATTAGCGAGCCGTCAACCCCCAGCATCGTTGTAGCTAGCCACCCGGATGTCCTCGGTCAACAGCCTGTCACCGACGATCTCCCACAGTACGTATACGCTCTTGCGTACCACGTCATCACATTCTGGTTCCTTGCGGTCAAGATGCCAGATCGGCCAGGCCACATTGGTTGGATCGCCAAGAACCTCTTCACCGACGTAGATGGAAGGGCGAGCAATGAGGAGCAAGCGCAGATTACCCTAGATTTCATGCAGCGTGTGGCTTTCTCAGATGCCTCTGATTCAGCTCAAGATCCTCTCTTCACCGAGGAGTATTTTGGCGAGATCCATCAAAAGCGCTGGATCATTGGGAACAGCATCATCACGATTCGTCAAGCACAGGAGGCTGGCTGGGCCGAGATTACGCGCCGCTACCCTTCGGGCACATCGTCATTCGCGATCCGCGTCGAATATTCCCCCACACCCAACCAGCCTGCCCCTGACGGGTCCGATGCTGCGGCGTGGGAAGGACGCTTCCAGCACGGCATCACCATATTCCCCAGCCATCTGTTAATGCAGCTGTTGGCCCCGATGCCGCAGATATACGATCCAGCGATCCGCCCTATCCCGCTTCCAGACGAAGAGGCAGTCGATCGAGCAATCCGCAACTTTGACCGCAACTCGGCAGTTGATTCGCACAAAGTTGGCGTTATCTACATCAAGGAGGGGCAAACGAACGAGGCGGACATACTTGCCAACACGATTGGCGGGCCTGACTATCTGGAGTTCCTCAAAGGTCTAGGCCCCTTGACTCGGCTGAAAGGGGCCACCTTTAACACACAGGGTTTGGACCGTGAAAACGACATTGACGGGCAGTACACATATTGCTGGCGGGATCGCGTGACAGAGATTGTGTTCCACGTAACGACGCAAATGCCAACCAATCTCGAGACGGACCCGCAGTGCATCATGAAGAAGCGGCACATCGGAAATGACTTTGTCAACATCATCTGGAACGACTCGAGCCTGCCCTTCAAGTTCGACACCTTCCCATCCCAGTTCAACTACGTCTACATTGTCATCACGCCCGCGCCGCGGTATTCGTTTCTGGCCTCACGGGAGATGGCCAGAAAGCGGCAGGAAGAGCGCAAGGCCGGCGGCAGCGGCAGCAGCCCGTCACCATTCTTCATGGTCCAGGTCATGAGCCAGCCGGGGTTCCCCGAGATCTCGCCGGCCGCGGAGCCAAAGATGGTCAGCCTCAAGGCGCTGCCCAGCTTCGTCCGCCTGCTCGCGCTCAACGCCTCGGTCTTCTCCCTCGTCTGGGCCAATCGAGAAGGTGGCGAGCATGTGTCCTCGTGGCGCAACCGTTTGAGAGAGATCAACAGGCTCCGCGAACGCTACGGGCCAAAGACGGCGCACGGCTACCCGGCTGTCGCCCCCTCGCCGCCCCCGGCCTCCTCCGCCCTCAGCCCTGTCGCCGCAGGCGGTTTGCCCGTCATGAGTACCCATGGGCATGGGCACGGGCACGGGCATGGACTGGGGCTTCACCAGCAGGGAATGAGCCAGCCTGCGCTAGGAAGCACGGTCGTGGGAGGCGGCGTCGGAAGCGGCAGCGGAGAGAGTGTTGGCGCTGGCGGAGGCGTTGGCGGCGGCGGAGGATCGCGGCCGGCGAGCGGCGTGCGCGATAGTTTCAGCAGCTTGAGACGGTCGTCGGTGGCTACCTTCTTCACGAGCGCCAGCACGGACCAGACGACCACGTCGCACCGCTCGTCGATGCTCTCGACGGCGACGACGGAGAATGCAGAGGTGCTCATGCAGCAGCAGCCTAGCACTGCCGAGGCGTTGGTGGATTCGGTGGATTTCTCCAAGTGGACTTGAGCTTCTTCCTTCGTTTTATGGACTTTTGTGTGTTAATGGGCATTGCTTGGATTGGGTTGGTCTGCGCTTCTCAAAATGGGGTTTGGTTTGGGTTGGGTTGGTCAAAATGGAAATAAATAAATCTCCAGATGGATGATGATGGGATTGGACGGGGCATAGTGTAATGTTCTTTGTCTGGGCTGTGGTTCGGATTGGGGTGTCAATCATCGAGCATGCGTCCTATCACGGGGCTTGTGGGCGTACTGTATGTACGTAGTCTTCTGAAAGGAGAAAAGGAGAGGGAGCATGGCATAGCCGACCTTCCCACTGCATCATCCCCTCGCCAACGTGGCGCACAAAACTTGGAAGAGGGTATTGGCGCCCCCAATCTAGTGTAGGATCGTTGTTTGGTATGTACTGTGTAAGGTCTGGGTCGCATGGATAGGGGGCAGACGTGGCAAAGGGTCAAATACATACAGTAGCCTGCTGAGGTACATACATACGGATAGTGTAGATGGTCCCCTGCTACCGCAGACCTTCCTCGGTGGCGTGGTCTGGAGAGATACCTCAAACTGGCATAAAAACGCCGATGTCTCGGTCTTGGAAGGTCTCAGATGGAAGATCACAGCAGCCGGAGATAGGAGAGCAACAGCGCCCGAGAGGAATCAGAGGGTGAATCCTCCCCCTTTTCCCCGGTCCACTGTCGTATGTAGATTATGAGTAGGCCAACGATATTATTTGCCTGTTACAGAATGAATGGGTCTAGTTGCTCTATTGTACAGACACATACCATGGCTCTTTTTGGGTCGCGCTACTCGAACGAATATAAGGTGTTTGCATATGTATGCCTGTCCCCCTCGTCGACCTGGGGCATATTACCCCGTTGGCTCGACCTTCATATGCACTTAAGGGGCACTATCTTGCAACGGGTATCTTCTATTACATGATCACAGATATATAGGTATGTATGTAAATCTATGATAAGTGTAGTGATATCAGGACTGACTAGGGACGCCCACCTACATCAGTACAACATATGTATGTACATACATGGATGAGGTGGGTTCACAGGTGTGTGGTGAGCTGAGCGGTGTTTAGCAGCAACCTACATTTGACGTTACACAAAACCGCTGGAACAGACAGGTGGGTTTGCGGCCGCCAAGCTCAGGGCTGCAGTGTGTGAGGTGTGAATTGGATGGGAATTTTGGTTTTTGCATGGTTAACGATGAGCGGTGTGTGAGATGACTGAGATGTACCGTATGCGGAGGGGGGTTTGTGCTGGACCTGCTGGTTCACTGTCCGTGTGTGCAGCTGAGGCGCTGCAAGACAGGATTTGGACGGCCAGCAGAGACTTTGAGTAGAGTATGGTATGTACTGTACATACAATACTTATATCACATATTTGCCCGGTTTGAGCCATGCTTATACTACACAAAATATAATCATCTTCTATGGGACGGAGCGGGCCGTGTCGTTCTGGACTCGGTGATGTTTCCTCTGAATGGTGTTGACTGTGAAGGCAATGAAAGGTGAACTACTTACTATGGGTTGTGAGATATCGAGTAGTGTATAAGATGGAGGTCCTTGCGCGGACAACCTGCTTGAGCGCACCCCAAGGAGCCACCACAGTACAGATTGGAGAAAGGTGGGCAGGAGTGACGTGAGGTGAGAATAACTACCGGTAGGCACATCATGTAGAGGGTCTACACACATGCCGGTTTCGCAAAGATTTCAGACCTCGTGACAACACATTCACAGTACTGTACTTGCACACACAGACCCTGTCGCAGCAAACTACCGGGGGCCATTGCCGATGCCCATGACATCAAATGTATACACAGTAGCGTGCAGGAACGCAGTGTGCAAGACACTACACCCTGTCTGAGAGCACATTCTGTGTTCAAACACTATTTGGTTGGCTGGCCTCGTCAGGGGTTCTTGTTGACACCAAAACCGTGATGAGGCAAAAGGACTGGCAGCACAAGTGAACGTTCCCCTTCTGTACGAAAACCATTCAGAATCTTAAGTGCCACATGAGATAAGGAGCCAGGAGAAAGCAGAAGAAAGAAGAAAGACCTCGAACCGAGGATGGCACGCCTTATTGACTTATCTTCTGCCAATATATCTCATCTCGTGGGGGCTTTGATTCACAGCCTCCACGCTTCCCTTTTTCTTTTTGTTAGACCATCACCCGTTATGTACCATCTCACCACATTTAGAGGCATTCTTGGGTACCCTGAAGCATGTCGGATGCGTCGAGGCGGCACATGCTAGTGCGGCAGCCGCTCGAGGGACGGCCGGGGTCCGCGGTCCGCTTCGTTGTGCTTAAACCGTGGGCAAGGTGTGCTGGTTGCTAGCCAGCATGCAAGTAAGAGACCGACCCGTTTGTTTTGCCGGTCCCGCTCTTATAGTGTAAGCAGAGCAGATTGTGCCAAGCCGAGTAAGCCGGACTGGGCAAACCGGACTGATGTGCCTTGTCGTGCATTGCAGCATCGTAGCTCGAAGGATTCAGTGGGGGATCGGATGCATCTTAGCTCTGCGGAGGGGGGGCAGTCCTGGGAAAGGGTTTGAAATCCTGGATTCGTCCGGGGGGAGAGCCGTACAGTATGTAGGCAACTAGAATGTGCACAAACGTATGCTGTACTTTCGCCACCTCGGACTTGCAAGGCACAAGGATGAAGAGCTGCTGTGGAAGGGGCATGGGCGATTGCGTCTCGTGGTTAACTCAATTGCGTGGGAAAGCCTGTAGATGACCATGTAACGGCTTGGGTTTCACGGACCAAAGGTCATCGAATACAGGTCAACAGCACCATCCGGAGATGGCGACCCTGTTACTGGCCAGCAATCGGACCCAGGTCGCTCATTGCGCTATCTAACGTTAATGGCGATCGGGTATGGGAGCAATGACATGCTCATCCTGGCTTCGCCAGCCTCCTCCTGAGGAGGTACACGTGTAGTGTGAACCGGCGGGCAGCCATACCGTTCCATATTGTACCGGTAGTTGCCGACAAGCGGGTTTGCCGGGGGCCTTCGTACATACAGCAGTGTACTGTATCGTACGTGTAGCCAGAGAGCTCCAGTTCCGGCTCTTGTCGCGTGTCAAGACGGTAAGGCGGGACAGCATGCTCAATTAGTCATGGGTCAGATTGATGCCGAGCTTTGCCAGTCGCTTGAAACCAAGTGTCGAGGACCTAGTGCCGTAGGGCTGATCTGCTAGCTGCTTACTGCAGGAATTGGGTTCTCGCTTGGACTTTCCCGTACACCAAAGCCAGAACATCTCGCTCTGCAAGAAGGCCTGGCGAGCCGGCATGAGTAAATGCATATTCATGCTGTTATCGACTTCCGCTGTGACCAGACGGCTCGGAGCGGGCCCCAGGGTGAACCCGGTCGTTGATCTTCTGAGCACTGGTTGCAGCTAACCGAAGATGATTCGAAACATGTCAATCTTGGTTCCCACAAGACAGGATGTTCCAGGACCATTCCGAACCAAATGCCCGAAGTAAGAGTTTCCCAATCCCCCAATCCCTGACAGGATCTTATGGACCAATGCGTCGTGCCCAGTCCTCGCTAGGAGTACTGGGATCTAAACTTGCATCGGTTCTGGCGTCACACAGCCTTGCTGGCTCAAGACCTTTCTGGATATTGCTCTTCTTCGGAGACTTCCAGTACAGAGCAAGTTTCAGACGTCTCGCCATACATCTCTGTATTTTGCAACCTTTTGGAACCCTACATTGGGGTCAATAGACGGTTACAAAGTTGGATGTTTGTACAGGTGCTCACCCATAGATTGGAAGCCTTCGTCTCCTCCTTTAACAGCGTCAATAAGAAGGCTATTCATCCCTTTTTGGGCCAGAATATGAATGCAGCTGTCAAGAAGTCTGATCATGATGGCATCTCGCTTATTCCGCATGTCCGCTTCGTCGACTAATACACCGCGGCTGTCAGCGTGTTCGTGTTCGCGGTCCCAGGTCTGGGCTGAGAACTTCCGGAATGGGCTACCCACCGCTGATACAGATGCATGTGACACCGCCCACGTCAACTGCAATGGTGCTGGCCCAGGGAAGATCTTCCGCCACGGGACTGCCAGTGTTTCCCCAGTATGTTAAGGCTGCTGCGACAATATTGTCTCCCTCGACACCGACGATAATGTCTCTGATGTTCATCGTGTTCGCGAGCTTGGCATACTGATCGTACCAGCCTACGTTGTCCTTTCTTTTCGACTCATGTTCGACAAATTCCAGCACCATGTCAAATTCGGCGAACTCGCAAGGCCGGAAGCTTAAGCCCGATGGTGTCAGACCGGTCGCGGGCCAATCCCTGAACCTCAAAAACCAATCGCAAGCTTCCAGTCCCCTGCCTGGTGCTGCTGGCGGGGGCTCAATCGTCCAGCCACGCCGCCGAAACCAATCTTCCCAGGGCGTGTCGGCCGGCAGTCCATAGAGAAGTCGAGGAAATGTGCTTCCCAGCTGCAGTCGGCAAACGCCGCGAGTCTTGGTCAGTTGGCGCAAAGCATGATCGTGCAGGCTCAAGCCAATCCCTCGCTGCCGGTAAGACGGACGCACGAGGAGCGCTCCCACGGAACCGATCAAACGCTCGCCTCCGCTATCAGCATAGGTGGTGTATGTTGCACAGAAGCCGAGAAGCTCGGAAGTCCCTGGTTCTCGAACAACGTAATGCATGGCGTATCCGTCGCGGCGAAGCAGCGATTCAAGTTGGTAGCGGCCAAGGTGGAACGCCTCGGGGAGACACTGACGCCACAGGTCGAATGTTGCCGATATGTCGCGATTCCCGTCCCAACGTTCGACAGGCCACGCCTTGGGGGCCAGGATGAGATTGTGCAGGTTCGGCTCTGTGGTGCTTCGTTTCCTCGGCTCGGAAAACATGAGTTGCGCGGCAGCTTCCATATCAGACGGTGCAAAGCTAGGCAGCTCTAGGATTGTCGGGAAGGCCGTCTCGATTGGACCCAGCTCTTGAATGCTGCAGCAGGTCACGATGATCTGAGGCCGGTGCTCGCACACGGATCGAGTAATCTCGGCTAGAGAGACCTGCGAGCGCTGGCCGTGACGTGGAGGGCCGGAGATAACGAAGATCACGGTAGACGCTAATCTGATGTGCACAACGTGGGTTCCTGTGATGCCGTTGCGGGGAAGATATGGGACATGACGAACCCATGGGTGGCGCTTGGCTAGAGCCTTCCCTAGAGGTTCAAAGGGGTCGCTCGGTGGCTTCGTGACATCGTAGTTCAACGGACTCACTTCCGGGGCAACACCGGGCGTCAGGAGCAGGATAATGTCCCCATCCTTGAGCTGTTTTGAAATGGGAAGTTGAGAAAGCGAGTCTTGTACGACTGTGACTCCTCGCCGGCTTGTGGCGTCCATTTTCCTCGAGCGGGTTTCACTGAGAGGAAGGCCCATGGAGCTCATCAAAAATAAAAACGTTTCGATCTTCGTCTGGTCAGTGGACTATTCCGAGTTGCGATAAGAATAAGGTTTGGTAGTGATAGAGTGGTGCTGTGAATGGTTCAGGGGGAGGGGGCAGGGGAGGGGTGAAATGTATTCAGTCCGCTCACTTACCAGCACTTTTTTGGCTTCTATTTTGTTCTTTTTTTTTTTTTTTTAAAAAAAAAAAAAAGTCACGTCATGACATGGCTTCGAAGGTGCGCAAATGGTCCCCTAGAGCGTACCCAGCATCTGAGTGGCGCCGGGGATGTGAGATCCAAGTGGCCGGGCTTTTACAGCCTCGATGAGCGAGATGAGCGGGGACAATGCGTAGTGGCACCGGCCGACGGACATTTGCGAGAGTTATGCCTCCAGTGGGCAGCTGGTTCTCGAGGAGCAGGTACAGTACAGTTGAGGTTCGGCTGAAGGATTCATGTAGCCTAGCTCGGGTCCAATGGGAGCAGCCGCGGCCCAGGTTGGGGGTGCACAGAAGAGCAAGCCGTGTCGGCAGCGGCAGATGTATGATTAGGTAGTAGAGCAGATTGCCACTTGTCTACAATATTGCAGAACTTGACGTGTGTGTATATGTGCGTGTGCGTATGTGGGTGTGTGTGACAACGAGGAAGTAGGTAGTCCAGGCGGCCAGCTTAGCCATCTCTTTTGACTCTCTGGCTGATCTTGGACTCCTGATTCCTGAACAGCCGCAGCCGAGGCTTAGTTTGCCGCTGCTGTTGCTGCTAAGGACCCAACTTACGCCAAACGCCGCACGGCCAGTCTTCGGTCAACCGGTGTGTCGCAAGGCCGAGCGGCCCGAACTCCTTCGACCGCCGCTCCGGAGATTTCAAGGGCTTAAACATCGTTTATGCGTCTGAGGTTGACTGCGAGTCTTTTGGTCGCTGGATGATCCTGCGTATGTATGTACCTTGACGGCAGGTGGTCATTGGACGAGCGGTGGCTTGTCGGCCGACGGTATGCTTCTTGCTAAGACTCGGTTATGGTCCTGAGCAGCAGGAGAGGTCATACATTCATACCAACTGTGTTGGGCAAGCGCAAACGCCGGCAACGCTGAGCACGAATGACATTGGGGGCGCGCAACAAAGTCGGCTATGTTCATACATAGACCTGCTCTCGAGCTACTGCATCCGGGGGCGGGCCACATATGGAAGCGTTACACAAGGAAAGTTTCGCTGTTGTACGGATATTGGGGTCTATGTCGGGTTAAACATGTGAGCAGAGACATGCTGTGCTGTCAAAGTGGCGTGTGTGATTCGCTGGCCAAAGAGTCGAGGGGCGTGGCACATTTGCCTGTCGCATTGGGAAAATGAGCATGACCTCCATGCGATAGATAATAGCGCTGCGGTTCAAAAGGTGCTCGGGTCGTACGAGAAGAGGCGAGAAGCTCAGGCAATTGGTCCGTGTCCAGGGGGAGGAACGTCCCGGGAATCTCCAACACCCAACAACACAGTGACGGAAGTCAGCAAGAGTAAGAACGATGCTGTAGGTAGTAAGTAGGTTGGTGACCGAGAGCCTCAGCCAACGGGCAAGAACGACCGACATGCAGTTAGTTCCCTGCAGTTGTTCAAGGCTTTGAGCCAAACTCCTCCAAGGTTGGAAGGAGAAGCAAGGCTGCGTGGGGGCGTTGTGTAACCATCTCAAAATGTTGCCAAAATCAGATTGAGGAAAGTCGGGGCAATCAAGCCGAATCTGCTTGAAAGAGAGCATTTCTCCCCGGGAGGCGTGCTGCGTCACACCAACACCTTGCCAGTCCGTGATTACAGTGTTGACAAACCAGTGAAAGTCCGGGCCGGAAGGAGCGGACTAGGTAGAGGTTGGTAGCACGAAACAGGCCCGAAATGACACTTTTAGGAACCGGTATCGAAGGCATTTACACTGCATTACACCTCATCCCTCAGCATTATGGGACTATGCGCGGGGTTTTCAGCAGGAACTTCACACCCATTACCATTACAAAATTGACCTGTCTGGCCCACACAGCAAAGCAGTGTTACACAGCATTCTGTCGAGTCGTGTATACGAGTATTACAAAGCGGCAAGAATGCAACATTATGATGCTCGAACGTGAAAACGATACAGTAACAATACGCTACAATACAATACAATAAATACGCTCTACTCCGTACAACTAGACGCGTTAAAAGTTCCGAGATCCTTGTGTTAACTGCGCACTCAGGATACGACGCTGTCCGTGTTTACTTGGCACAACGCATATCGTTCGGTGTCAAAGGACATGCCATATCAATCGCCGTCATACTCGAGAAAAAGGAAAAGAAAAGAAAAGGGATGTCCTCGGATAATCTCGATGACTTGATAGAGGATCTCGAGGCAGGTAGGTGGTACTAGTGTTTTGATAAGGAAAACGAATAAGAGCTGATGATCCAGGCAGCCTCGAAATTGCCCGCGAAACAACGCAAAACAGGCATCAAATCGACCATTGAGCGGGCGGCCGCAATCCTCTACGAAAGGGGCGCTTTCCCGCATGAGCTGATCCGCCTTGTTGACCTGTTGACTATTCGCAACCACTTGGATCAGGCCAGCCTCGCAGTCCTTGTTCGAAACCTGTATCCGTCAGCCAAGGTCGGCGATGACACCGTCTTACGCTTCGTTGGCGCCCTGGGCCACGGCCACCTAAAGCCGTCCCTGCCACTCCAGGCTCTGTTTCTCAGATGGCTTGTCATGGTGTACCACTTGTTGGAAAACCCGGCCGTTCTGTCGCAGGCATATGCCGTGCTGTTCAATCTGCTCGATACCGCAGCCATCAGGTAAGTCCGTCCAGGTCAGCGTCACCATCGCGTGTTAAAGCAGTGACAGGCTTCACTAATCCCTCCCAAGACCCCAGCTCTGCCATGTCCTTGCCTTGGTGACGAGGCGGAAGCATGTGAGACCATTTCGGATACAGGCCATGTAAGCAGAATCCATGATTTCGCAAACGAAAGTCATATCCGGAGTTGCTAATCGCGTCTTTGCAGCTTGAACCTCGCCCGGCAAACCGGCGGTGACCCACATTTGACGGGTCTGCTGCGTGTCTTCAAGAACTACTATCCTGAAATTATTGTGGGCGAGGTTACCAAGGGCCGAGCCGCGGTTTTCAAGGTATGGCTGTCCTAGCAACTTCTCAAGTTTTTTTTTGGGCTGACGGCCGTAGCATCCTGACACCCAATGGTGCGCGAGGCTCGACGAGATTCAGCAGCAGCATTCTGCTAGCCACGACGGCACGGCCGTTAGGAACGGCTTTGCTGTTAGCCATGCTCTCGGCAGCCGTCTGAAAGGCGCGAAAGCCATGTTCCCCACCGTACATACTCTGCATGCTCAAGAGGTAAGGACATTAATCAGCCTCGAGATCTAGAAACCAGGCCGCTGACGAATTCCAGAACTCCGTCACGTTGGAGGAGACTGACAGCGCCGAGACCTTTGTGAAACAACTAGACAAAATCGAGCTGCCTACACAGCTCGTGGCCGTCTTTGCTGACCCTCTCCTTCAAAAGTTCTTGCTCCTCCGGCCAGACGCCGAGGCATCTTCACGCATCAGCAACTGGCTGATGGCATGTTTAGCCGATGTTGCTGGCGGAGACGCTGACTCAGATCTCTTAGCCGACATGCTTGAGGTGGTGCATGACTATGTGCTTAGGGTGAAGGTTCGTGCGGCATGACCAAGATTGCTTGTTCTCAAGATCTAATTGCGATCGCAGATGTTACCACCGCTTCTGCTTACCTTTTTCGGCCAGTTCCTGAGGGTCTGGGACGGCTCAGATAAGCGGGACATGGTTCTCGAAACCTTGAGTTTCGTCCCTATGACGGACTTTCAACGTAAAATACTCCTCCATGGGTCCGAAGTGGTGGCTCTAACAAGGTCAATAGGACTTTATCAGATACTACAGCCTCTTGAAGATTCGATGCTGGACGGCACCGCAGCGTGTCAGGTGTCGCTTCTGAAATTCTACACGCTATTGGTCCGACGTTGGACAATAGCCATAGAGGCTTCAGAACCTTTTGTCTCCCTGCCAGTGGGTTGTGTTACTGACCTGATTGAGCATGTCAACAAACTCGCCTTAACGCTTACCCAAACCTCACCTACCGTTGGCGTCTACCTTGACATCCTCGACTTTTACGAATCCACCGCGGCCATATACGCCAAGCCGCCACTACTACAGCACGTCTTCATCACAATCCCGCCCCCCCTTCTCGTCTACCTGTTGCATTTCAGCCCTTCGCTGGCAGTCGTGTCCCGGCTGTGCGGCATACTCGCCATCTACAAGCGTGCTTGGGAGGCTGTTACGTCTCCGTCCGTGGCACGGCAGCTGACGCCACGCGAGCGCGAGCAAATCAATTCCTTCAACGGGTTCCTGATGGACCTGTGCAACTGCTTGTGGCGCGGCCGCGCATTTGCGACGACGGACACCAACGCTCAAGGGTGCCGTATACCGCAATCCGTCCAGCCAGTCCTTGCGTCGTACGTGCGACGAACAGACCCGGACCTGTCTCTGGGGTTTATCTTTGGCTTGTCGCACTCTCCTATTCTGTGCCTACAGTCCATCTCATACGTCAGAGAGCTGGAAGACGCGGATACCAATGTGCGACTCAGGCACACCGGACCGGTCACCCAGACCTCATTGAGCCAGCTGGCTAATAGAGGCGGGCTGAGGCTGCCCTGGCAAGAGTATAGGTCAGGCGTCCTAGGATATCTTGAGGCGAAAGGCTTCCCGGGCATTCCCGAGCTGATGTACAATACGATGAAAAATCTCATGAAGACGAGGAAAGGATGAGGCCGGCAATTATGTCACTGAAGATACCCCAATTGAACTAGAAATAAATCAATATTTTTGACCGTCTCTCTCCTCGAAGCAAACGCCATGTTAAATGCCGCCTGGGTATCATGTTAAAGCCACCTACCCGCGAGACCGAACCCCTTTCCAGTTGACAGAAATAAAACAGACGCAGCTACCCCGATCCCTACCTACCCCCTAAAAGCCTGACTCCCTCAAGCTTCCTCAATCGCGGTCCTCCTCCATTGCTGCCTTGGATTCAAGCCCGTACCCTCCAATGCCAGGGCTACTGTAAGTCCACCCCTCGGGACCCCTCTGAACCCGGTGCTGGCTTCTCGGCCCGCGCTCGCGCAAATCGTCCCTCAACCACCTCAGCACCAACTGGCCCAGCCTACTATTCCCCTTGGCGGCGCCCACCATAGCCTCCTCCTCCTCCTTTTCCTCCTCCCGAGCAACCACCTCGTCAAGCTCGCGCCGCAGCAGCTCCTCAGCCGGGCCCCAGCCCTTGACCGTGCCCAGGTGCATGTGCACGAGATGTGTGGGCCAGCCGGCGAGATTATCCAGGATATGCGTGGCATATACAACGGTACACTCCCTCGTCTCCGTCTCGCGGCGCAAAAAGCTTAAAAACTGCGCCCGGCTCCACACGTCCAGATCAACCGTGATCTCGTCGAGCAACAGCACCGTCCAGGGGCGGATCAGGCCCATGGCGAGCTGCACGCGGCGGCGCTCGCCGTCCGACACGGCGTGCATGCGCCAGGCCGTGTCAATGTCGAGGACACTCACCAACTCATCACGCCTGTCGGGGAACGCATCCCCGCCTACCGACGACAACAGTTCGGAAACCCCGACGTCGCCCGCCCGCACCACCGAGTTGAGCACCCATTCGAGTCCCAGGTACGTCACGCCCTCGAGCCCGTCCTTGAACGGGTCGACGCCGCCCACGCGGATGGACCCGGCGGGCGCCATGCGCTTGCCCGCCAGCAGCCGCAGCAAAGTGGTCTTGCCCGCGCCGTTGGCCCCGATTAGTAGCGTGCGCGAGCGGGCGGGCAGGGAGATGGTGATGTTGGAGACGCCCGTGTCGTAGTTGGGGAAGGTGTAGGTGAGGTTGTTAGTTTCGATGGTTGGCGGTTGAGTTGCCATTTTTGCGGGTAGATGAGGGTGATAGGTAGTGTTGATGATGATGATGCTAACGATGATGATAGTGATGACGAGCGAGTCAGTGGTGGTGACGAGTGGAAATTCGCGGATGAATTATCTTGTCCTGTAACAGCCAACTCAGTTATTGGGTCTAGCAGGAACAGTTCAAAATTCCATCACCTTTTATCCAGGAGTGGCGTCAAGAAGTTGTAAAGAGTGTGGAAAAGCGGAGCACGAGTCATTTCTAGGGCGTGCATTTGCATTCGATCTCCATTGATATCGTCACATCGGGCGGATCCGCGAGAGTCGGCAGCTGTTGTACAATACCTACAGACACCTAACGACCCCTTTTCCATCACCCAAGACTTTACACACAATATAGACACTCCTCATCAACTGCACACACAAAGATGCGAATTGAAAAGCTGTTTTTCCCCATTCTGTCCTGTCCTGGCCAGCCCAGCACAACAACCTTCTATACCCACATATCCATGCCCATCCACAATACCTCGAGCCATCGCCAGCCAGTTAACCTTACATCCATCCATCCAACATCCATCACCAACTTTATAATGACAAGGCCCATTAAAATAAACTTTAGTTGCAAAACGCCCCTAGGTGCAATCCCAAGCTCGCTCGCTGTGCCTGTCTGCTATGCGCCCGGCTATGTGAATCGAAACAAGAGAAGATGGCCCATTACAAAGAACAGTTTCCCGTACACATATGCAAACAAAAATCAGAGCAAACCAGGGCTGTATCCGCTTGGTGCCCGGGATCCTCGAAGCAGCAAGATTGGATAGCCCAACCCCTTGGCGATATCCCACCCACCAGAACAGTGACCAAATTAGAAGACCGAACAAGAAGAAGACCAGGGGTATACCTTGACGGCAGAAAGAAACAGGATTATCCTTCACAAACCCACTCGGCAAAGACACACCACCTCGCGGTCCGGTCGGCCAACACCAGCCCCCGCCAGACGCCTCGTTGGGAGCACTTGATGATTGTCTCCCACACGCCGCCATCACCGGCCTCTTCCTCGCCGAGGAGGTTGATGCCTGATTGGGAGGCCTTCCCGCTGAGGACGCCTCCAATTCCGCGCCTCTCCTCCTTGCGCATCAGCCTGAGGATCTTGCCGCCCGGCGTTTGGATGGCCAGCTTAGCCGGTTTCCGGGAATTGCCGCTGGCGCTGGAGGTGCTAACCGAAGTAGCAGCCGTGCTCGGGTTTGAGCCGGCCGCGCTACTCGTCATGCTCATCGCACTGCTGGGCCGCGCAAACGGAATGGGGCTGGTACCGCCGGGGTTGGATGACGGGGCCATGGGGTTGTTAGCGACCGAGCTTGGGTGCTGGCGGATGGCAAACACGAAGGTGTTGTTGAGCGCGAGACGCTGGCACTGCGGCTGGACGACATAGATGTCGTGACGCTGTGCGTGCGGTGTCGGGTGCCGCGTCACAAACTCGTACGGCGGGTTCTCGCCGGTGTGGATGATGGGAAGAGCAAACGCGAGCGGGTGCGGAATGTCCTTGATGCTGTGCATAAGCCCCCGCTTGCCGGCGTAGACCTTGAGCACGCCAGTTCCTTCGTCGCCGGGCAGCAAGGCCTTGACCGTGTAGCGCTTGACGCCGGCAAACCATTCGGCTTGGGCAAGAGCGCGCTTCTTGATCGTCTCCCCGGATTCGAAGAAATCACCGTCCGAGTCCCGCGAGTAGCCGCGCACCTCAACCTCGGCGGCCACTTCGACATCAGCGGGTACATTGAACTTTATGTGCACCATCTCCAGGTCCTCGATTCGAGTGAGCGACGTGTCATAGTCAACCATCTGCAATCCGTTCTTGAAGAACGGTGCACAGGCGCAGGGAAGATTGAGAAGGACTTCATGAGCAACCGGCGGGCAGATGTGCTGCTGTGCGTGGTGCTCCGGGATATGCGTCCAGCAAATCTCGGTCGGACGAGCTAGGAACCACCAGGGGTCGGCACTCGAGCTGCTCGCGCTGGAATAGAGAGCCCGTCGAGGGTTAGACGGGCTGGCGAGGCAGCAGTCCATTATCCGCCATTCGTTGTCGACCAACACGGCATTCCACCAGTGGTTAGACCGGGGCATGACATTGACATCGGGAATCTCTCCCGGAGTTTTCAAGTACCCGCGGACAATCTCGCAGGTGAGGCCAACTGCAGCGCACATCTCCAGCACTAGAGTTGCGTACTCCTCAGCACATGCCCGCTTCGTCTGAATGACCCGCCGCGTATCCGTGGGCCCGTCGAAATCCTCTTCCCAGCAGATCTTCTCGGAAACCCAAGTGAAGATTGCGCGGAGACGCTGGACGTCGCTGCGGTACGGTCGGCAGACGTACGTGGTGGCCAGCGTTATTACTGTCGTGGTTGGCGGGAGGTTAGCGAGGAAGCGCGAGTTCTTGTCTACCTGGCTGAGGTTAATGGCTGCGAAGTTTATCGGCTCAGTCACGGGCATGCCATCGGCTCCTTCGTCTCCATCGATGCCGTTGTACAGCTCGTCCACAGGGTCGAGGGCCGGGTAGTCGAGCATCTGGCACCTTTCCTTTCTCTCGACTCGCTCATTCTGGCTCAGCGAGTTAGAGCGGTTCACATCCCGCCGGACCTGGACCCAGTCTACGGCCGCGCCAAGTCCCATCTCCTTTGCAGGCTCGCGCCCCTTCTTGATAGAAATGGATGTTCCGGAAAGAGACGGAAGAGCAGGGGTGGAGCGGTTTGAAGCGGCCGCCTGGAGAGATCCGGCCCCTGCAGCGGCTATGCTGCCCCTAGTGCTCGCAACGCCGGTCTTGGCAGACTCGAGGATCCTCTTGATGAAGTTTTGCTTCTTGGGTTTGGGTTGGACGAGGCCACCCAGTCCTGGCATGGCGTCGTCGTGAAATCCAATTTGCGACTTGGACCGTTGCTCGCCCGAAGCATGGCTGCTGTGGTATGTAACACCGGTAAAGGGTGTCTCTGGGCGATCCGATTCCAGATCTCGCATACCCAGGGCGCTTTGCGCCCGACTCCGGTTTTTCCTTGCGAGACTCCCAGCGCTCGTTGCACTGATGCCACCAGCCGAGACGCCACTCATCAAGCTCCGCTCGGTGCTCTGGGTTCCCGATGAGCTGTTTGTCGAGTTGGTTTTGGTGGTGAAGGTCCTGTTCAGAACCTGTCGGCTGATTTCGTAGGCCGATTTTTTCTGACGGAGTTTCTGCTCTGGCTGGGCGTGGATGTCCATGGAGGACTTTGGTCTGTCGAATAGTTGACCCTTTGGCGGCGGAGTCGGACCTTCGCTCACACCCACCATACTCGCATTTTGCTTGTGCATGTTTCTGAGCCTCGTCTCCATTCTCTCGACGTAGTTGCTGAGCTGCGGCAGGGGCTGCTCTTGGTAGCTGCCGTGGTGAGTCGGCTCTTGGGATGATTGAGCGCTGCCAGGATACGTTTCGTAGCCCTCGTCGACCTGGTGCGGTATGCCCATGGATGTCTGGGGACGGTTATGCTGGTCTCGCTTCTTTCTCGACTGCTGATGTACCATATCAAAGGATTCTGGGGACCAAGGGTCCAAAGCGGGCTCCGGAGACTCGGCTTCTCTGCCAGCGCCTAGCGCATCGAGTTGCTCCATCACGTCATCCATGGCCTCTCTTAGAGGGGACGGTGTCAGGCCGTCAACTCCTCCAGGGGATGGAGGGCACGGAGACGGTACCCTAGGAGTGTGATAGCCCGAGGCCTTGGAGGGATCATAAGGTATGTACGACGCGTTCGAGTTCTGCCTCGATCTGTGCTCGTACGACGCATTGGAGCGCTCTCTCGATAGTACCGAGTGTTCCTTAGACAGTCCACCATAGTACCCCTCGTCATAAGACATGTGGGAACCGTGCCTTGGAACATTTGATCTGTGCGGCGGTGGCGGAGGAGGGGGAGAATCTCCTGCAGGGTGGCTTTGACTATAGGATTCTGTCCTGTCGAGGCTTAGGTGGTACGCGTGTTGACGAGGTTGAGGCGGCCGGTATGGTACGTAGGATGGTGCTGGCGACGGCCCCCTGGAGCTAGCACTAGGAACTCTCGAAGGGGTAGGAGCGCGTGATGGCGACGCATCCCGCGACATCATCCCACCAGGAAGCCTTGCAGGAGATGGATCTCTCCCAGCCAGCAGCACACTTGGGGTTTGCGAAGGGGATATGTCTCGCCCGAGATGCGTGCTGTGAGCTGGGCTGGCATTGGCAGAGGGGCTCGCCGAAGCCTCGCGCGGCCGGACTGCGCCATCCTTGAATGTCTCTGGGGTCTTGGCTGTCGTGTAGTGCGGGGCTTTGGAATAGGCCTCGTAGGGCTTGCGGAAAGTTTTGGATTTCTGAGGGCTATTTCTCGGGCTGGGCGTGGTGCTGCCGGGTAAGGGGCTGATGGATCTGCTGGTTGGGCGGAAGTTTTCTGGCAGCACCTCGACGAAGTTGGATGGAAACAACCCAATTGCTCTCCTATCCCGCCACAATCTGCCCGTCCACCATGAGCCATCGCCGGCGTTAAGACATTCGATCAGATCACCTTCGACAAACCCGAGGTCTCGTTTGGACTAGTGACGGTGGGGTTGCGGTCAGCTTGAGTTGATACAGCATGTCGTGCGCTTCGAGACAAAACAAACGCACCTCTCCTCCCCATGAATACACTGCCCGAACCCAACACGGGAAACGTGTTGGCAGCGGTGGCGGTGCCGGGGCCATTGTGCAGATATATGTAGCGCTCCAAGTCGCTGCTGCGGTAGATGATGTTGACTGTTGACTGAGTAGTGTACTATGAAGTGATGTAATTGCAAGGTAATGTCGATTACAGCTTGGGCATAACAAGTGGGCTATGACGGCACCAAACTCGAGAATCGCTTGCTCGGAGGTCGGCAAGCGATTGTGGAGTTGCAAGATGGAGAAAGGCCCCCATCCAAGCAAAAGGAGGGAGACGAGATTGATGAGCGACAGGGAGCCCGGCAGTCGCGATGCTGCGCTGTGGTAGAAAATTGACGGGGTGTGGCCTAGTTTCCCCCACAGTTCGTGGAGTGTGTGAAATTTGACCCAACCTCAAGTCGAGTTATAAGACAAACCTGGGAAGGCACGAGCCGGGATAGCGAAAGCTGAGCCAGCGGCCCGGCGATGGGAAAGGCCCAAGCTCCTGTGTCGGTGAACAACGGTTGCGAGGGGCAACGGCAGCCCCACACGGCCCGCAGCCCCACTTGTCCCGAATGGTGCCAAGAGGCATGTCATTGGATGCCACCTCAAATGCCGGTGCTGATCCGTGATTGGTCCGTGCGCGTTTTGATAGAGTGCTGAAGCAAACGCTCGCAGCGGCCTCTGGTTTTGGTCCTCGAGACCCCTAAAAACTTGGGGTTGCATCGCAGCAAGCCTGCGCTGTACTCTGTCACTAAAATACATACATGCGCACCATGGTATTAGTCGTGCCAGATGGGAAAACCTTCATATATTTTCTGTCAATTGCGCGCAGCTCGGGATTCTCGCGGCTTCACTTCGCTCGTCGCTTTTCAGCTGAGTCGGCACCTGAGCTAGCACAATTGCGGACTGAAAGACCGGGCTCATCAAGTACCCTGGACCGGCCCGACAAACGCATTCTCCATTCTCCAAAGTAAACAATGGCCCGTGCCGAGGGCGCAGCACCCGGACAACCACAGCGCCGAGCTCCAGCAGCACACATTGTCTACGGAATGCTAATTTAATAGGAAAAGGCACGGGCCGGCGACAAGATACACAAGAGAACTTTGTCTGCAGCCAGGAACCCATCGCCAACATCCTCGCTCTCTTCCCCGTTCCCGGCCAAACGAGTGCGCCCTCACACTCGGCTGTCTTGCCCCTCTGTTTCCCCCCAGCTTTCTCCACCGGTTCATCGCATGTTGTGGGCGGATCCCTAATTTCGCTGCATCACGAAGCAAGCTACGACAATAATGGCCGACGAAGGAGTTGCAAGCCGTTACCAGGTGCTGGAAGAGCTCGGACGTGAGTCGCAACGATGCGCCGAGTTTGATTTTACAAGTGGAAATAGTTTCGCTGATCATTGGTGATGCAGGCGGCAGCTTTGGCGTCGTGTATAAGGGCATTGAGAAAGCGACAGGGGAGACGGTCGCAATTAAACACGTAAGTTGTTGCTTTTGCTTCGCTCCGGACTCATGGAATTGCGATTGACTTTGTGTTGCGATACAGATTGATCTCGAGTCGAGCGAGGATGACATCCAGGAAATCCAACAGGAGATCTCGGTGCTCAGCACATGCGCCAGCAGCTACGTCACGCAATACAAGGCGAGCTTTCTGCGAGGCCACAAGCTATGGATTGTCATGGAATATCTGGGAGGCGGCTCCTGTCTTGACTTGGTATGTTACCTCGCGACAGCTTGCAGCGCCCGTTGCCGCCCGTGCTAACAGTGTCCAGCTAAAACCGGGCGCCTTCAATGAAGTCCACATTGCCATCATCTGCCGGGAACTGCTGCTAGGTCTCGAATACCTCCATTCCGAGGGGAAGATTCACCGTGACATCAAGGCTGCAAATGTGCTGCTGTCCGAGACGGGCAAGGTCAAGCTTGCAGATTTTGGCGTCGCTGCACAGCTGACGTACATGAAGTCGCAGCGGAACACATTTGTTGGCACCCCGTTCTGGATGGCCCCTGAGGTTATCCAACAGGCTGGCTATGATTTCAAGGCCGACATCTGGTCGCTGGGCATCACAGCCATTGAGCTGGCGCTGGGCGAACCGCCACACGCCAGCACCCACCCCATGAAGGTTCTCTTCCACATCCCCAAAAACCCCCCTCCGAGGCTCGAAGGCAAATTCAGCAAAGAGTTCAAAGATTTTGTCGCACAGTGTCTGGTCAAGGACCCCGATTATCGGCCCACAGCTAAGGAGCTTCTGAGGCACAAGTTCATTCGGTCGGCAGGCAAGGTAGAAGCACTGCAGGAGTTGATTCAGCGCAAACGGATGGCAGATGCCAAGGCCGACAGCGTAAAGATCCCGGCCTACTACCAGGAGACACTTCAAACCATTTCTCCCAAGGACGAGGCCGACGAGTGGGTCTTCGAGACGGTGAAGTCGGTAGCGCCGAAGAGGGGCACTGTCAGATCGAGAAAACCATCTTCGGCATTCTCAGTTGAGGATGGCTTCCGCAAGCTGGATCTTAAAGATGGGCCTCTCCAGCCCAATACCCCCGGGACGGTGCGGAAATCAACTGTGCGCCGCCAGCCGTCGACTGCCGCGCGCCAGAGCTCTATCAGCCGCCACGTTTCCAATGGCTCGCCACGTTCCTCTCTTGCCCCAAAGCGGCCTCTGCAGCCAGATATGTCCTTTGGCAACTCCGGCTCCACCATGCGGCTCTTCCGTCGCGTGCCCTCTGACGGCTCAAACCCGGGCAGTCTCGGCACATCTCCTCCCGACTTCACCAGCACCGACGAAAACCGCCCTCCTCCAGCATACCACGCACCGGTCGAGCCAAACAGCAAAGAAGCCATGCTCGGCCGCCGGCTATACAACAAAGCCCTCGAGCCCTGTCTCGACGAGCTCCACGCCCAAACAGCCGCCTCGACGAAACGAGAAGCCCTGGCAAGACTGTCCGATGCCTTCGCTCTGCTGGACGCGGTCGATCCCGAAGGCGCCTACCATTTCCTGCGTAACCTGGTCTCGGCTGTATCTCAGGATTCCAGGCTCAGCAACGCCTTCCTCCCGCAGCAAACTGGTATTCTCTCGTCGAAGTCACCAAGCGACGGCGGCACTCCGCAGGCACAGGGAACAGTGGTGATCAAATCCCCGCAGCGGCCTTCCACCTCCAATTCCTCCTCCATTTCCCATTCCCAAACCGCCACCAACACGGCCACCACAACGAATCCCCCTTCGGTACCCGCAAGCCCCACAAAGCTGGTCATGTCCCAAGAGAACCCGCACCTCATGAGCCATCACCGCAGGCGCGGGAGCATGCTGCCCGACTCGCCCGCTGCCCCGAGATCCCCGGAGAAGGAGAGAGGGGAGAAGGACCGGGACAGAGAAAAGGAAAAGGAAAAGGAGCGGGAGAGGGAGCGGGAGCGGGAACGCATGACCCTGCTCGAGGCACGGTTCCCCGGCCGCCCGGCCGTGCCCGGCATGGAGCACTGCAAGGCGCTTTCGGACCTGCTGTACGCCCGCTGGACCGACGGCTTGAGGGCCCGCTGGGGGTCTTGGCGGGCGCATCATAACCATAACGATATCGAAGCATGAGCGGAGCATGGGTGGGCTATATACAGTACCACTCACTGCAGTCACTGCATAAGAGAAGAGAGCAGGAGGAGGATGGATGGATGACGATGATGATTATGTCATGTCTGGGTAATGTTTCTGGAGTGAAGGATTGTGGGTTTACAATGGTTTATAGCGTGTGTGCTTGACGCTACTCGGGGCTGATGGATCAAAGGGGATGGGGATGTTGTGGTTATGGAGACAGTCTGAGATGAGTGGGGTTGGGTTCCGGTTCTGGGCTGGCGAGGATGCAAGCGACGGTGAGACGGGATGACTTCTTGCGAGTCTCGCGGTCATGAGCTTGTTCCGCGCTTCTCATATTCCTGGCTGCCTACCGTAGACTGCATGTTTTTTCTGGCGGGAATAGCTCAATAGCCCTGGCATCTCACGGTGTATCAAAATACCTGTTTAGATTACAACGGTAGAAATTGACAGCCCCTTAATGTATGGTACTGCTGCATGGGTACCTTCGTCCTGCTGTTAGTCAGTGCTTGACAATACAACGTTTGAATAGACATCCTAGCTTACAGATGATCTTCATTAGGGCTCAACCATGAGCCCACTCTTATGAAATCCAGTTCCGTAGGTCATTACCCGCCGTCTTGTTGTGATGTACGGATAAGTACATGGCTAACGCCGTGGTATCTGAATCAAATGGGCACCCCGCCAGAAGACTGGTCTGAGTTCTGAGTCTGAGATGAACCCGGCTCAGCTTCTGGCTGTGATTGAGCTTCATTGTGCTTTTGCCTTTCCTGGATGCATTCCAGCTGGATCCGCCAGTTCATGAACGAGTCCGCGACCACGTCGCCATGACCCACCTCCTCGACTTTGAAGAGCTCAATGTTGCGCGACCCTGGCGCCCGCCTGATCCTCCAGACACCCTCGTCCTTGATTGTGGAGCGGAGCCCTGCGTACAATCAGCGCATCGCGGACATGAAAAGGGGGGAGGAATAAGCTTACACTCGAGGAATTGCGTTGTAAAGTTGATGCAGACGTTGCCATCCCACTTCACGCTGCTGCTGGTCTGAACATACTGAGGGATCTTGATGGTGTCAAACTCCTTGATGCTCTTTAGTATGCCGTCCTGGGACCTGAAGCCAACAATGATTTTCGGCACTCCGAGGAGGAACGACTGGATCCAATACTTCAAGAGCTTCCGGTCAAATCTTGCTTGCTGGCCTTTGTGGGTGATCTCGGCGCTTGTCTTGAACTCAACCCAGTTGATGGGAGCTCCAGGTATCTCGGGTTTGGCATCCCAGACTGCGTAAGGTCAGCGTTGTGGGAAAGTTGGGGCTTAGAAAAGGTTGGAGCTTGGAAAGTTGAGAGACATACTCGCGTCAACCTCGCCTCCGAGACACACTATCGTGTTGCCAAAGCCGGTCCGGACTACTGAGCAGTACTGCTCGGCGTTGTTGACGATTTTGTCTTCCCGGCTCTCAATATATTCTCTGGAAGTCTCTCCCCATGGGCGTGGCATTGTGCAGAGAGCCTCAAATTTATAACCTGCCGGTGTGTTAATCTAGATGCTACACAATAATAACAGTCGGTGCTTACCCCAATATTGGTACACTGACATTTGATAGCGACCGTTCCCGACAACCTGACGATTCTCGGCCGCCTTTTTTCTCTGGCTGAATTCGTGATTCTCCTCAATGAAGCTTCAGGATATGTTAGCCCAGGGATATCCGGGATGGGAACAGGCGGCTTACATGCATCCTCGATAGAGGGTAGCATTCATCTCAAATCTAGACGAAGGCCGGAAACTGTTCAGCACCAGGCCCCAATAGGCAACGAAAAGCATTCGGCTTCGCGTTCTTACGGTTCATCATCATAAGGTGCGGCCATGATCTAGATGGTGGAGTCAATGTCTGGGAGTCTCGCTACTCTACAGTTCTGTAAGGATAATAATACCTTGGTCATCATGCCTCTCCAAGTGAGGATATGAGCATCGATTGGCGTGTTAGTTTGCTCCTCATGCTTCGCAACAGCCCTTAAAAGGCCGTCCAAATGTTCGTCGACACTATCGTCGTGACTTATGAACTGATCGTAGCCTTTGTTGAGATCCGCGCCGAGATTCGGCGGGTAGTACCACTTAAGAGACTTGTCGCCCAGAGACCAGTTGCGGTTCTCATCATATGAAAAGGATACAAATTCCTTGGGTCGCTTCACGGGCTGACTGGCGGCGGCGTACCGCGCTGGCCCGTGGATGGGAAAAGTCAGGGCCATCGCCATCGCCATCGCACTGATATAACAGACTTTGGCGGGTCGCGTTAGCACCCTCGTTCCCCCCGGCATCCAAGTGCACGGCTGCTCTGGACGCTTGCCTGCATCAGCGTGGAAACAGCGACGTCTCTGAGGCAAGATGAGTGTCGATCCGATGAAAAGCGAGAGGATGCTTGGCGTCTGGTGTCTCAACGGTGGAATGTGGGCTAGAAACACGGGAATTGCAAGTTGGTGTGTCAAAGGGAGCCTGGTCTTGTATGGCTGACAGCGTCTTAGGGGTCGCTGTATGTATTGTACAGTACATAACTGGATTACAGGGGAGACTCTGGCTGTCTGGGTATGGTTACACTACAATGGTAAAGTTTCCCACTTTGTAATGTTCATACACACATCCTGTAACGGACCTCCCTTTGTTGTCCTGGGTTCTGTTCTACCGAAGGATACTATGGACTACCTGCTAAACTCACAAGAAAGCAGACAGCAAACTGTCAGATTCTCAGAATTACAATTGGCACTGCCTGTCAACAGATTTGGGGCTCTTATGTGTGTTACCTTTTAAGGCGGTCATCATCCTCTAGGGATGTACTGTAGAGTACAACAATACAGTAATTCCATAGCCATGTTACAGCTAGCGTTTACAAATTAACATAACTTACCACATCTTGGCCCAACACACAAGTTGGCCCACCCAATTTCCACCCACCCCACAACGATCAGACCCACGGTATTGCTTCTTTGAATAGCTTCATTTCCAACGGTCTGACCGTACTAGAAGCTTTCAAACTACCTAGAAATCTATCGCCAGTAAGTCTTTTTCCTTCTTTTCATCAATTCTAATGACAAGATGGCAGGCCCTCAAGGCCTACTCTAGGCCTTTCTCTCTTTTGCAACTGACCGCATTCATTAGATTGGATTTCCTAGACTTGTCCGACAGAGGTTTTTACCCGGCCTATACGGTACGGTTTTTCCTTTGTACATAGCTGGAGCGGGTCCGAGGAGCCTGTTAGATAGGCATAGCGGGG